CGCTGTGCCAGCCTGTGCAGCCCAGGGCGTGCCCCACGCCCAAGCGGCTGCTGGGACCCGAGGCTTGGGCTGGGTAGGCTCAGCAGACTCCTTGGGGCAGCGTCGCCCCACGCTGAAGTGTGGCTTCATTTCTCACCTGAGGATTCCCTTTCCTTTCTCGTGCCCTCAGGTGCCTGAGGTTTCAGCTGGAGGAGTTACAGGAGGGTTTTCCTCGGGATCCGGGTCTGTTGGAGCAGGTACAGCTGGCGACCCACTCAGGGCCCGTTTGGGGGTGGGTGTGCCCATCCCCAGCTGCCACAGATTCGCACCAGCCTGTTCAGCAAGAGCTGCCCCCCTCAAGGTGCCCACCCCAGGGCAGCCCGCAGCCCATGGCTGGGAGGCAGGGGATATCAGCCCAGACCACCTGTCACTGGAGAAACAGCTCTCTGAGGCCTGGGACCCCAGGATCAGGCCACAGGAGGCTTTGCAGAGACCGCACCTTCACCCAGTGGCTCTCCCTCCCGGATTCTTTCTCACCCTCTCCTGGGAGCCCCCCACCCCACCAGGAGCACCTAAATCACCGTCTTGGGCTCTGCGTCTGGGAACTGACCTGAGACAGCTGGTGTGAGACGTGGTCTCAGGAAGCACCCTCCGCAGTGGGGCCTGGGGCTGCAACGCCCACCCGCTCGTCTCCTATGGGGGTGGACGCTGGCAGTCCTGGCACCTGGGTGGATGGCGCTCAGGCTGCATACAGGGTGGAGGAGCGCACAGGTGTGGTGGGCATGGGTCAGGGTTAAGTCCTGGCCTGTGCCACCCTTAAAAGAACACAGGCAGCAAGGCTGTGACTTAGGGTCTCTGGAGAGGCCCAGGGGAGCCCCAGCTTGGAAGCAAGGATGGAGCACGTGTGGTCTCCCCAGGGCTGGTCCTAGGACACTCCCGAGGCTGGTGGGTCTGCACAGCTGACGGTCCCCGTCAGACACACCGATGCAAAACCGGGCAGCTGGCCGAGGGCCTGGGGTGAGCGGGATGGACACCTACTCAGGCCCACACAGAGCCAGGGAGCGACGGGCAGGTGGCCCACACCCCCGTGCCCCCAACTACCACTAGATGACAGTCTTGCAGGGGGTCCCCGTGACTATAGACTAGAGGAGGAGGAATCCTGGCCTGGCCCACCATGGTGGGCATGGTGTGTTGGGCTGAGAGGGGCGAAGGAACCCCAGGCCAGAGCCTTGGCCCTGCAGTGGGTGCTCCCCGTTCCCTCCGCCCCCCGAGAGGAAAGGAGAGTGGCTCCTGGGCGGCATGGCCTGGCTGGTGGGTCAGGGCCTGAGAGGAGCAGGAGTGGACAAGGTGTGGGTGGACATGGGGTGAGGTCATGCCAACGTCTGCTAAGAGCACCGTGCAGAGCAGCCACTGGGCCATCCAGCCCACACGGCTTGGCTGTGGGACGCTGGTCACCCGTGCTTGCACGTGGGCTCCCACTGAGGTGGCCCCGTGCAGGCTGGTGAGGTGCCCCTCCCAGCCGGGCCCAGCCCCTCTCACTGTGCACAGCAGCCTCCCGGCAAGACCACGGAGGCAACAGCTACCCGAGACCAGGTAGCAACAAGGAGCAGACAGCCACTTCAGCTTGCTGCCCTGTCTCTCGGTCACCCCAGGTCCCTGGAAACATCCCCTCGAACCTCAGAGCCCCTTCTGTCAAGGGGGGCTGCCCGGATCCAGGGCCACAGGATGCCAGGCCCTCTGGAAGCTGCTGGCCTGGCGCGGCTGACCCCTGTGGGATGGCATGTGGGTGGGATCTCGAGCCAAGGACCCCAAGAGGGGAGGCTGAGAAGGCCCACCCCCCACAGGCTCAGGACCCGCTGGGGCGTGTGCTGCTTGTCCCTGCAGCCTGTCGGTGAGACCCTCATGGTCCTGGTCAGCGAGGGAAGACATGGCTGTCCAGGGCAGGGTGCGGGCTCCCTCAACTCACGGCCTCAGAGGCCACCCGGCACAGCAGCTGTTCATCATGGGAGGCCAGCCGGCCCAGTGGGCACCGTCCTGGCCAGGAGGCCCCTGACCACCATGCAGAGGAAGGGCTGCTGCCCTGGGCAGGCTCAGTTCTAACTGCAAGTGGGCAAGAGAGGAGAGCCCAAGGGTGTGGGACCAGGGGACCAGGACTCACCCCTGGGGATGAGGGCCTGGCCCTCCCCAGGCAGAGCAGGGAGACAGCTCAGCGGGGCTGTGGCTGACCCACTCACCCTCCTCTTTAAAGTTCTCCCAGAATGAATCCTGGAGAAGTTGGAATCAACTGAACGTGATGAGCAGGGGCGTGGAGGGGAGGCCACAGCAGAGATGCTGACGCTCTGCCCACAGACCACCACTTGTGCTCACAACCGCCCTCTTCTCTGGACGGCTACCCTTGGCCAAACTGGACCATGTACCCCGGGGGCACAGTCAGTGACCAAACCAAGGGACGTCACCTCAGGTCTAAGTGCCCGTCACAGACCCAGCCTGGGTGCTAGGCAGGCAGACCCCAGCTGGCTGGGCCTCCACCTCCTCTGTGCCCTGGCTCCCTTAGCCTGGGGCACTCTCTGAGAGTGTGGCCTCCAGCCAGCATCTTCACCAAGCTCAGAGCCTGGGGCTGCAGCACCCTTACCCGACATGCCACCTAAGCTCTGGACAAGAAGGGACACAGGACCACGGGGAGGTTGGAATTGCTTTTATTGGGGCGAGCGCGGCAGGCCCGCCGTGGTCAGGTTAGTGTTCTGCCCTCGGAGGCAGCCGAAGCCGGGTGCCTCCACCCGCCACCTCCCTGGGTTAGTGGAACATGCAAAGCTCAGTCAGAGGGTGGAGGCAGGGGTGGAGCCGCCAGGGCCCGGGCGATGGAGCAGGAGCGGGCGGCACTGGCCGGCGGCCTGGTTGGCACGGACCGCCCGGGCCGCATCCCAGGCCCACTCGGGGGCTGAGGCTCCCTGGGAGAGGCAGGCAGGCAGCACCCGGGGAAGGGGTGCCCCACAGGCCTCGGGGGGCGCTTGGCCCACAGTGGGCAGAAGCCTACAGGGGCCCCGCTGTACCTGGCTGGCACGCCTGAGAGCTGGGCAGTGGCGAGCCTTTCACCAGGAGGGTCTGTCTCCCACCCCAGGTCTGGGTCCTTGGGGCCTGGGGTGCAAAGGGGGACACAGAAGGCACTTACTAGGGAGCTGAGGCTGGAAGGCTGAAGCCAGAGGCCTGGGGTCTGGGGGGCCTGGCTGGGCCGGCTGGGTCTGCTCGGGGACCTCACCCTCCCGTGGGGAAGGGGCTTCCTGAGCAGCTGAGGAGAGGAGGGTGACCAGGACTCACTGCCGCCCGCGCAGAGCGAGAGGGTCAGTCCTGGAGACATAGAGGCGCTGGTCCCAACGGCCCTGCTGCTGGGGGCTACATCCGCTGCCCAGGCAGGTAGGGCTGGGGGTTGGGTGGGGCTGGTCTACAGGACTGGGGGAAGTTCACCCAGACGGAACCCTCTGGGGAGATGGGAGGGCTGAGTTGGGGGGCCCACCTCTGGGCCCTCCAAGGCACCTGGCTATGGTGAGTGGCAGGTAAAGAGGAGCAGGGAGACCCGGGGGATGGGGTGGTCAGTGGGGCTGGACTGGCCCCATCCCCGGGAGACAGGCTGTCTGGACAACAGGTATATATTAATACGTTAGTCTAGTCTTTTTGGTTAAACTTTAGGCACCGCTTGGGAGGAAGACACCTTTCAACATTAGAGAGAGACCCCAGCGCCTGGGCGGGAGGCCACATGCAGAGCGGGAGGCGGGGAGCGGGAGGGGTCAGGCTGCCGCGGACTCGGGGCCCCCCAGGGAGGAAGTGGGCCCCGAGGCATAGCGGCGGCCGTAGCCTGAGGAGGAGTAGGACGAGGAGGAGAAGGTCATGGAGAAGCCTGAGCCCGTGGCGTCGAAGCTACCGCGACGAGAGCCAGCCCGGGAGCCCGTGCGAGAGCCGGAGCGCGAGCCTGCAGTGGAGCCAGAGCCGCTGACGCTGTAGGGGCTGTAGTAGCCCTTGCTGGACTGGGCGGCGGCCTCCAGCAGCCGCAGCCCCGTGCCCTCCTCCACCATGCTGCGGTCCAGCGCGTCCTTGTAGGAGATCTTGAGCTTGGTCTTGGGGCAGGTGAGGTACTTGGAGTACGCGCTGACGTCGCGCAGCTTCTGGGCAGTGCGGGCGTCCACCGTGCCGCGCTGCAGGGCCTCATCCAGGGGCACGCGGCCCGGCATGTCGGGCTCGATCAGGCCACCCGTCAGGTACTGCACCTCCAGGAAGCGCTGCCCCGCCTCGTAGTAGAGCCAGCCCTTCTTCAGGGCCTGGGCGGCCGACATCTTGGTCTTGGTGCGCGGGTCCTCAAAGCCGCAGAAGGCCTTCTGGGCCAGGTTGATGCGGTCCACCATGATCTTGTCCACTAGGCCCTTGTTGACAGCGTCGGTGACGGGGAAGCGTTCGCCAGTGTTGGGGTCGATGATGCCCCCAGTGCAGGCCTGCGCCTCCAGTAGCCGCTGGCCTGTGATGTTGTCCACCAGGTTGCGGTGCATGGCCTCCGTGATGGACACCTTCTCCAGGGTCTCGGTGTCCAGGATGCCAGCCACAGGGCCTGTCTCCTCCGTGGGGTCAGACCAGGAGGCCAGCTGGGTCCTGGAGACGGCCGGGCTGATGGGGTAGGAGGACGACGACCCCACAGAGGATGAGCGTGAGCGGAAGCCACCGGCGTTGCCTGAGAGCATGTCAGCGAACTCGGTGATGGACAGTGTGCCAGCGCGGTACTGGTCCAGCGCCGAGCGGTCGATGAGACTCTTGGCGATGGCCTCATCAATGTCGTACTGGCGGCCCGAGCGGCGGTCGATGATCATGGACTTGACCACGCCGTCCGAGGACGAGATGGTGATCTCCTCCCACTCACACTCCTGCTCCGACAGCTCCAGGTAGGTCTGGTGGTCAATGAGGCCCTTGCGGTAGGCCTCGTACACAGACATCTCCTTGCCCGTCTCGGGGTCCACGATGACCACGCGCCGCTTGCGCACTGAGGACTTGGAGGATGTCTTCCGCTCCCTCTTCTTCTCCTTCAGCGGCAGGAGCCGCAGCCCCGTCTGGGGGTCGGTGACACAGCGCTCCATCAGCTGCAGGTACGTGAGGTTCTCCTCTGTGTTGGGGTCGAAGAAGCCCTTGGTGTCATCCGAGGGGTCGGTGAGGATCTCGTTCATCTCCTCGTCGAAGAGGCCGCGCTGGTAGGCCACGTCCACGGGGAGGCGGTGGCTCTCCTCGGGGTCGATGATGCCGCCTGTGGCGATCTGGGCCTCCAGCAGGCGGATGCCGTGGTCCTTGAGGATGAGGCCCTTCTTCATGGCCTGGAAGAGGGAGATGAGCTTCCCGGAGTAGGGGTCCTTGTAGCCGGTGACGGCACGCTCGGCCGACAGCAGCTTGTCCTTGAACTCGGGGCCCACGATGCCCATGCGCACAGCCTCCTCCACGGTCAGCTTGAGCCCCTTGATGGGGTCGATGACGTAGCCAGTGGCTGCCTGCGCCTCCAGGAGCTCGAAGGCTGTGCCAGGCCGGATGATGCCCTTCTTCATGGCCTGGTACACTGACAGCCGCTCCTTGTTGGCATCGACGAGGACGCCAGCGATGCTGCTGGTGCCCTCGAGGAACTTCTGCAGATTCTTGGAGACCTCCTCAATGGAGGTCAGGCCCTCCTGCAGCCGCTGCGCCGTGACCTCGTCCATGACGTGAGAGCGCACCAGTTCCTCCACTGTGATCTGCTTGCGCAGACCACGGAAGGTCAGCTTGCGGGCATCTGAGAGTGGCAGGAGGAGCAGGCCGCTGGCTTCATCGCGGCGGCAGCGCCTGAGCAGCTGTGTGTAGCTGAGGTGCTCGTCCGTGGAGGGGTCCACGTAGCTACGCACCTCACTGGGCTCTGACAGCTGATCGTGTGTGTCCTTGTTGAGGTAACCACGCTGGTAGGCCACCTCCACTGGGAGGTGGAAGCCCAGGCGTGGGTCCACGATGCCGCCCGTGGCCAGCTGAGCGTCCAGCAGCCTCAGGGCCTCCTCAGCGGGGATCAGGTCCTTCTTCATGGCCTGGAAGAGGGAGATGGTCTGCTCTGTGTAGGGGTCGCGGTAGCCGGTCACAGCCCGCTCGGCTGACAGCAGCCGGTCATGTAGCTCGGGGCCCACCAGGCCCTTCCGCACAGCTTCATCCACGGTCAGCCGCTCGCCCTTCACCGGGTCCAGCAGGAAGCCCGTAGCCGCCTGTGCCTCGAGCAGCAGGCGGGCCACCTCGGCACTCAGCAGCCCCTTCTTGAGGGCCTGGTAGATGGTGAGGGTCTGCCTGGAGCCGGGCAGGTAGACGCCGGCTACACAGCCTGTGCCGTAGAGGTAGCGCCAGGCAGATTCGGCCTCCAGCACCTCGCGGAGGCTCCGGGTGCCGTCCCGGAGCAGGCTGTAGGACTCACGGGAGATGACCCGGGCCTCGTACAGGTCCTCGGCCGTGAGGCGGCGGCGCACGTAGTCATAGGACGCTAGGTTCTGCTGGCGCACAATCTCGGTCTTCTCAATGATCTCAATGATGATGATGATCATGCGTTCCTTGGTCACACGGCCGGCCTGGAAGTCGGCCATCAGCTGGGCCCGCTGCTCCTCGGGGATCAGGTCGGACTGCATCACCTCCCACAGGGACATGGTGGAGCCCCCATGGCTGCCCCCCCCGGGGATGTCGATCTGTGTCTCCTCGAAGGCCCTGCGCGTCTCCTCCTCAGTGTACACCCGTGTGGTCTCCACCACCTCCGCCTTCTCTGGCCCTTTCAGTGGCAGCAACCGCAGGCCCGTCTCGGGGTCCTCCACACAGCGCTCCATCAGCTGCCTGTACGTGAGGTTCTCGTGAGTGTTGGGGTCGAAGAAGCCCTTGGTGTCGTCGCTGGGGTCTTGTAGGATGCGGTTCATCTCCTCGTCGAAGTAGCCACGCTGGTAGGCCACATCCACGGGCACGCGGTGGCTGTGCACGGGGTCGATGACACCGCCCGTTGCAATCTGGGCCTCCAACAGGCGGATGCCATGCTCCCTGACAACCAGGCCCTTCTTCATGGCCTGGAAAAGGGAGATGGTGCTGCCTGAGTAGGGGTCCTTGTAGCCGGTCACGGCCTTCTCGGCCGACAGCAGCTTCTCATGCAGCTCGGGGCCCACGACACCGGCCTTCACGGCCTCGTGGACATACAGGCGCTGATTCCTCACAGGGTCCACCAGGAAGCCCGTGGCCGCCTGCGCCTCAAGCAGGAGGATGGCAGTGCTGGGCCTGAGCAGACCCCGTCGCATGGCCTCGTAGATGGTCACCTTCTCCTTGGACTCCTCCAGATAGATACCAGCCAGGCAGCCGCTGCCCTGGAGAAGGGTCCGCACGGAGTCCAGCTCTGACAGGTCCTTGACTGATGTCTTGCCGTCCTTGAGCTGGTCAAACTGGGAGCTACTGAGGATGCCGGCAGCCAGGAGCTCGCTGGCCGGCACTGGGGCACGGAGACCGCTGAAGGAGAGCCTCTCCCGCCGCGTGGTCTCCACCTCCTCCACGATGGTGATGACAATCTTGATGATCTTCTCCACAGTGACCTTGCCCGTGCGGAACTGCCTCAGCAACTCCTGTCTCTGTTCAGCCGTGAAGTACTCAGAGTTGATGAGCTCCCAGATGGTCATTGCCCGGCCCTGGAAGCTGCCCACAGGGACCTCGACAGTGGCCTTCTGGAAGGCCTCACGGGCCTGGACCTCGGAGTAGAGCTCCTGCTGCCGGGCCCGGGCTGCCTCCTCCGAGAGCGGCAGCAGACTCAGTCCTGTCAGTGGGTCGGGGCGGCACTGTTGCTGGAGCTGGCTGTAGGTGGCCGGCTCCCCAGTACGGGGGTCATAGTAGGTCTTGGCGTCATCTCTGGGCGCTGAAAGAGTGGTGCTGGTTTCCTTATCCAGGTAGCCGCGGGCACAGGCGACATCCAGGGGCACACGGTGGCTCTTGCTGGGGTCCACGGTGCCCCCCGTGGACAGCTGGGCATCCAGTAGACGCAGGCCCTGCTCCCTGGGAATGAGGCCCTTCTTCAGGGCCTGGAACAGGGACACGCTCTGCCCCGAGTAGGGGTCCTTGTAGCCGGTCACAGCCTTCTCAGCCGACAACATCTTCTCATGCAGCTCAGGACCTACCAGGCCGGCGCGTACCGCCTCGTCCACAGTCAGCCGTGCGCTGGTGGCAGGGTCGATGATGTGCCCGGTGCCAGCCTGGGCCTCGAGCAGGGCCACGGCTGCCTCCGGCTGCAGCAGCTCTTTCTTCAGAGCCTCGTAAATGCTTAGTTTCTGCCTCGCCTCCTCCAGCCACACACCTGCAATGACGCCTGAGCCCCGCAGGGCCCGTCGCACACCTTCCACCTCAGCCACCTCCTGCACGGAGCGCTCACCCAGCTGCAGCTGGCGGAAGAGGTCCCAGTCGATGACCCCGCTCTCAAGCAGCTCGGCAGCAGGGACCAGGGCGCGCAGGCCCTGGAAGCAGAGCTGGCCCTTCTGCTCGTGCTCCTCGATGACGGTGATGACGATCTTGATGATCTTCTCCACGGTGACCTTGCCCGTGCGGAACTGCCGCAGAAGGTCCCGCCGCTGCTCGGCCGTGAAGTACTCTGAGTTGATGAGCTCCCAGATGGTCACCGTTTTGCCCTGGAACTTGCCAAATGGCGCTGACACAGTGGCCTTCTCAAACACGTCCCGGGCCTCTGAGTCAGTGTAGACCAGCTCACCACCCTTGGCAGCCTGATCAGTGAGTGGCAGCAGCCGCAGGCCTGTCTCAGGATCCTCCACACAGCGTTCTAGCAGCTGCATGTACGTGAGGTTCTCATGCGTGTTGGGGTCGAAGAAGCCCTTGGTGTCATCACTGGGGTCCTGCAGGATGCGGTTCATCTCCTCGTCAAAGTAACCACGCTTATAGGCCACGTCCACGGGCACGCGGTGGCTGTGCACGGGGTCGATGACGCCACCCGTGGCGATCTGGGCCTCCAGCAGGCGGATGCCGTGCTCGCGCACGATGAGATCCTTCTTCATGGCCTGGAAGAGGGAGATCTGCTGCCCAGTGTACGGGTCCTTGTAGCCGGTGACGGCACGCTCAGCCGACAGGAGCTTGTGGTGCAGCTCGGGGCCCACGACGCCCTCCTTCACGGCTTCAGTGACAGTCAGCCGCCTGTTCCGCACTGGGTCCAAGAGAAAGCCTGAGGCCGCCTGGGCCTCAAGCAGGATGAGAGCGGTGCCCGGGCTCAGCAGCTGCCTCCTCAGGGCTGCGTAGATGGTCAGCTTCTCGTTGCCAGGCTTCAGTAGCAGCCCGGCGATGCTGCTGTGGCCCTGCAGGTAGCGGCGCACATCCTCCCGCTGTGTGAGTTCAACCACTGTGGTGCGGCCCTGCGCCAGCCCCTGCAGCTCCTCTGTGCTCAGGATGCCCGCCTCCTGCAGCTGCAGGGCCGGCACCTTCTGCCGCAGGCCCTCGAAGGCATGTTCTGGCTCTGCGGCTGGGCCGTCGGCCACGTCCTGGCCATTGGGCAGGGCTCTGGTGGCCGCCGCCTGAGCAGCAGTAATCTCCTCGGAGTGGGCCAGTGCGGCCCGATGTTCCTCCTCCAGGTGCTCCAGCCGCTCACGCAGCCGGCGATTCTCCTCTGCCAGCAGTTGCTCCTGCTGCTGCCGCTGCTGCTCCAGGAGCTGCAGCTCCTCCTGCTTGCGCCGCACACCCTCCTCAGCCTCGCGCTGCCGCCGCTGCGCCTCCTCCATACTGGCCAGCAGCTGCTGCTTCTCCTGCTGCATCTGCTGCTGCTGTCGCTGCTGCTCCTCTCGCAACTTCTGTGCTTTGGCCACCTCGTCCTGGAAGAGCCGCTCCAGCTTGGCCTTTTCTTCCTCAATGAAGCGTTCCCGCTGCAGCAGGCTGTCCTTCTCAGAGAGGAAGCTCTGCTGCAAGGCCTGTGTTTCCTGCAGCAGTTGCTCCTGCTGTACCGTCTGCATCTGTCAAGAGGGTAGGCAGCGGTCAGGGACACCTGGACAGGCGCACCCTCCCCAGAGCAGACCCCACCCCAGGTCCCTGCCCTCCGCCGCGAGATACCTCCTCAGACTTGAGCTGCAACAGCTCAGCCTCCTTCTTGAGCTTGTCCTTCTCGCGCTCCAGCTCTGCAATGGCCTCCCTCAAGCGATTGGCATCCCGGTCGCTCTGCTGCCGCTGGGTCTCCAGCGTCTGCACCAGCGTCACCTTCTCCTGAGTGGCAAGCTCTGTGCGGTGCAGCTTTGCGCCAATCTCCTCCGCCTGCTTCCGGAAGCGCTGGGCGTCCTCCTCCGCGCGAGCCTGGGCCCGGCTCATCTCGGCCACGCGCAGCCTTAGTCTCTCGGCCTCCGCGCTCATTTCCAGCTGCCGTTGCCGCTCAGTCTCCAGGGTTCGCTGGAAGCCTTGCGTCTCCTGTGCCAGCTGCTGAGCCATCTGCTCCTTGTCCTCCTGCAGCCGGCGGGCCTGCTCCTGGGCCAGCTCCTTCTGCTGCTGCAGCAGCTCCGCCTCGGCCTTGAGCCGCGTGGCCTCCTGTACTGCCTGCATCTTCTCCTTGAGCATCTTCTCCGCCAGGGCCCGCTGCTGAGCCAGGTCCTCCTCCGCCAGCTGCCGCAGCCGCGCTGCCTCCTGAGCCGCCACACTCAGCCGCGCGGCCTCCTCCGCCACCTGCTTCATCTTCTCGGCCTCCTCCTGCAGGAGGCGCTGCGTGTTGTCCTTGTCGCGCAGGATAAGGGCGCGGTTCTCCGCCTCGATTCGCGCCTTGAGCTTGCCGAGCTCCTCCATCTGGACGCGCACGGAGAACAGCTCCTCCTCTACCTGGCTGCGTTGGCGGGCGGCCTCCGTCACTTCCGCCTTCAGCCGCTGCAGCTCCTGGTCCAGGATGCTCTTCTGGTGGTCTGTCTCCTCCAGCTGCAACCGCAGTGCCGTCAGCTCCTGCTCCACCTGCGCCTTCTGCCGTAGCGTCTGCTCCGCGAACTTCTTGTGCTTCTCCATCTCCGCGTCGGCCGCCTGCTTCTGCCGCAGAGCCGCCTGCTCTGCCTGCGCCCGGCGCGCCGCCTCCTGCTCGGCTTCCTTGCGCAGCTTCTCAGCGGCAGCCTGCGCCTGCGCCTGGGCCTGTGCCTGCTCCTCTGCTGCCTGCTTCAGCCGCTCCGCCTCCTCCACACGCTGCCGGGACTGCGCTGCCTCACGCTCGGCCCGCTCGCGTGCCTCCTCCGCCTCCTCAGCCGCGCGCCGGGCAGCCTCGGCCTCGCCGCGGAGCCTCTCCAGCACGCTCTGCTCCTGCTGGAGGGTCTGCTGCAGCTCCTGTTCCTTCTGCTGCACTGCAAAGGCATGCGCCTTCTCCTCCGCCTGCAGCCGCTTCTGGGCAGCCTCCTGTGCCAGCTGCAGCTGCCGCGCAGACTCGTGCTCTGCCCGCTCGCGCAGGCGCCGCGCCTCCTCCACCTTGGCCTTGAGCCGCTCTACCTCCTCCAGGGCGGCCTTCCGCTGCCGCGCAGCCTCCTCCTCAGCCGCCAGACTCTTCTGCACGCGCTCCTCGGCCTCCCGGCGCCGCCGCTCCTCCTCCGCGGCCAGCTGCCGCTGCCGAGCCGCCTCCTGCTCTGCCTGCTCCTTGCTGCGCAGCGTGTCCTCTGCGTTGCCCCGGATGCGCCCCAGTTCCAACTCCAGCTCCGCCTTGCCGGCGGCCGCCTTCTCGAAACTCGCCTTGAGGGCCAGGATCTCCTCCTCCACCTGCCGCCGCTGCCGCAGCGTGTCCTCCACCAGCCCCTTCTGCCGCTCCAGCTCGCTCTCGGATGCCTTGCGCAGCTGCGCCAGCCGCTCCTCGATGTCGGCCTTGTGCTGGGCTGCCTGTTCCTCCAGCTTCCGCCGCTGGAAGGCCTCGTCTTCCGCCAGCCGCCGCAGGCGCTCGTTCTCGGCTTCCTTCTCCTTGAGCGCAATCTCCGCCTCGGTCTTGAGCCGCGTGGCCTCGCTGATGGCGGCCAGCTTCTCGGCCAGCACCCGCTCGGCCTCCGCCCGCTGCCGCGCTGCATCCTCTTCTGCCAGCTGCCGCTGCCGCTTTGCCTCCTCCGCCAGCGCGCGCAGGCGGGCGGCCTCCTCCGCCAGCTCACGGAAGCGCCCAGCCTCGGCTTCCAGCCTCTGCTTGGACTTCTCACTGCTGGAGCGCGACTCCTCTTCGGCCCGCGCCTTGCTAGCCAGCAGCACCTCCATCTCAGCCCGCACCTTGGCCAGCTCGGCCTCCAGCTCCTGGCGTTTCTGCGTGGCCGCGACCGCCTCACTCTGCAGCCGCGCCAGCTCCTCCTCCAGCAGCTGCCGCTGCTGCTCGCCCTGCTCCGTCTCGGCGCGCAGCCGGATCAGCTCCTGCTCAGCTGCCAAGCGCTGCTGCGCAGTGCCCTCCGCCAGCTGCCGCTGCCTCTCCAACTCCTGCTCTGCCAGCTCTCGCTGCCGCACTGCCTGCTCCTCTGCCTTGCCGCGGCGCCGTGCCTCCCGCTCCGCCGCCTCCTTCTGCTTCTCCGCCTCGGCCTGCGCCAGGCTCTTCTGCTGTGCCACCTCCTCCGCCTGCAGCCGCAGCCGCAGCGCCTCATTGGCCTTCAGTTGCCAGCGCTCCAACTCGCGCTCGGCCTCTTCGCGGGCGCGCTCGGCCTCCGCCTGCTGCTGCTCCCGGCGCGTGGCCTCTTCACGCAGCTGCACCACGGTCACATGCTCTTCCTCGAGAGTGCGTTCCAGCTGCGCTGTCTTCTCAGCAAATGAGGCGTGCTTGCTCTGCAGCTCGGCCTGGGCACTGCGCTGAGCTGTCTCCAGCGCCACCTGCACCTGGCGTGCCCGCTCTGCCTCTGCCTGCCGCAGGCGCCGCTCCGCCTCCTCAGCCTGCAGCCGTAGCTCCTCTAGCGCCTGCAATGCCCGCTGCTTTTCCCGCGCTGCCTCGGCTTCGGCTTTCACACGCAGGGCCAGCTCAGCCTCAGCCTGCCGCTTGCGCTGGGTTTCGTCTTGCACCTGCCGCCGTAGGCGCTCTGCTTCCTCCTGGGCCTGCCTCTTCTGTGCCTCAGCTTCCTCCGCCCGCGCCCGCAGGGCTTGCAGCTCGCCCTCCGCCCCACCACGCTGGCGCTCCGTAGTCTCCAGCTGCAGGCGCACCACTCGGATCTCCTCCTCAATGCGCAGCCGGCTGCGCTCGGCCGCCTCCACCTGCCGGGCCTTTGCCTGGATCTCCGCCTCCGAGCTCTGCCGCAGCTGCTGCAGCTCCTCCTGGATGCTGCGCTTCTGCTGCTGCGCATCCACCGCCACCTCCTCCCGGCGTGCCACCTCCTCCTGCATGCGCCGCTGCAGCTCCTGGGCCTCACGCTCCGCCTGAGCCTTCGCCTGGGCGTGGGCCTCAGCCAGCTGCCGCTGCTTCTCCAGCGCAGCCTCCACCTCAGCCAGCCGCTCTCGCTCCTCCGCCCGCTGCTGCTCGGCCAGCCTCTGCGGCCACGGCAGAGAGAAGAAGAGAACCAGAGACAGCGGTGAGCACACCGCAACTGCTCCTGGGACGCAATTCGGTGCCACTACAGCTCAGCGTGGTGCAGGGCTCGGGGGAGGACACAGGTCATGACCTGGCTGAGGGGAATCCCGTGCACCTCCCCGGGGCACTAGGGGCAGCGAGCGCAGCCTGGCCCCACAGTGCTCACCAGCCCGGGGAAGGAGACCCAGGCGTCCTCCCCTCTTCCCGCAGACAGGCGACGGAGACAGACAGACAGAGAGAGAGAGAGAGAGCAAAGCAGGAGGTTTGCAGGGTCCAGGAACCATGACCACCGCACAGCCCTGCCCGAGCGCTGCTGATGCCTGTGGCCTGCTCTGGCCCCCCAACCTGGCAGGGCAGCTGGCCAGTGTGGGCACCATGTGGACCTGCCATTCTGCAGTTCAGCTCAGGGAAGAGGCTGCAGGTAGGCCAGACAGAGGGCTCACCCAGGGAGCGGGAGGAGACAGACAGGCCAGTGCCCTGCCTCGCCGTGGCGCCCCTCCCAGCCCCCACAACCGAACAAGCCCGAGTCCTTGCAGAGCAGGCGGCCAAGTGAAACGGCCAATGCAAAACCCCAAGAAGGGACACACAGAGCCAGGGGGAGGCCCAGGGGCACACGCCAGCCACTGGGGAGACAGCCGTGCAGCGCCAGGCCACGTGCGGTGGGCCGTGCTGCGGGGGCACCGGCAGCCCAGGCGCAGGGGGTGGGCAGCGCTGTGCCAGGTGCCCTTGGACGCATCCCAGGGGCCACATCAGGGGGTGGTAGTGATGGGATGGCCTGCCCACCCTGGCAGTCCTACCTCCTCCTCCTCCATGCGCCGCAGGGTCTCACTGATGAACCTGATGTACTGGCTGGTGAGCGTGCTCAACTCACTGTAGCGGGTCCGTAGGTCCACATACTGGGGGGAGAGGGGTGCCCACAGTCAGCCCTGCCCCTGCCCAGAGCCCACCAGGCCCTGTGTGGCTTTGGCTCCGCCCACCCACCAGCCCCACAGCCCCTCAGCCTCACCTCCTGGATGACACTCTCGGACCCCGACTGGACCTTGGGCTTTTTGGCCGGGGAGGCCACCGGCTCCAGCTGTGCCTTGTATGTGACCAGCTGAAGCTCATAGTCCTGTAAAGACACACCAATGGCTGCCAGTTCTGCCCGCCCCACCCCGCCCCTGAACCTGCCCGCAGGCTTTGCCCAGCATGGCCTCGGCTGGGGGGCCCCCAGAGGTCGCGGCCCATTGCACGTCTCCCCTGGGGCCCAAGGCCGCAAAGCCTCACCTTGATGGCATTGATGTACTGCTTCGCAAACCTCTGGCACTCCTCTACCTTCTCCGCATGGCGTTCAATCTCTTCCAGCAGGGCCTGGGGCGTCAGAGTGGTCAGTGATCACGGTGCACACCCACGCCCGCCCCTCCTGCCCACCCGGCCCAGGCCCACCTTCTCCTGCCGCAGCTGCTCGCGCACGGCCTGGCTGTCGGCCAGCGGCACGGCCTGGATCTGCTCCTGCCGCCGCCTGGCATCCTGCAGCCAGGCGCCCAGCGGGTCCGCGCTCTCCCGGTAGTAACGCAGCTGGCGGCCCAGCTGCTCGAGCTCACGCTGCCGCACGTCAGTCTGGGCCAGCACGGCCTGCCAGCGCTCCAGCAGCTGTGTGACCCGCTCGCGCCAGCGCTCCACCTCCACGTCCCGCTCGCCATGCCGCTGCTGCAGCCGCTCGCCCACCTCCTGTGCCCCCCGCAGCTCGTCCCGCAGGGCGTCAAACACAGGCTGCTGTGCCTCTGCCTGGGCCCGCAGCTTCTGTTGGGCCAGAGCAGAGCAGCCATTTCAGCCTGAGGCCCCAGCTGCCGCCCCTGACGCCATCAGGCCCTGGCGGTGGGGTGCGGGCTGGCGGCAGTACCTTCATTGCAGCCTTGGTGGCCTCAAGCTCTGGGAGGGTGGCGGGCACAGCCTGGGCCTCCTTGAGCTGCTCCTCGTGGGCCCTGAGGGCATCCTCGGCCTCCTGCGTGCTGCGGATCACCAGGCTGATGGTCTTGAGCCTGGGGGAGGGCAGGGCCACATGAAGACAGGCTGGATGAGAGACTGAGGACCAAGGCCATGCCCTGGAGGGAGGCTCATGGGGGACTGAGTGTGTGGAGTTCCCAAGAAGCTTCTGAAAACAATCTACGAGCCACGTGAACGTGTATGACAAAATGGACAGTGCAGGAAAAGGTGCCCGTGTCTGGAAGTGAGGGCGGGGAGGAGGGAGGGGTCCTGGGGAGGACTCCACATTCCCCAGGGCACGGGACGGGGAGGGGGCCCTCTCAGCACCCTGGGTCTCTGCTATGTCACCCACAGCCCACCAGATCCCACCTTCCACCAAGAAGCTCCTCCCCTGAGGTTGCCAGTGCCCCCCAAGCCAAGTTCTGACCCTTGCTGGACACGCCCCCTTCTAGCACTCTTCACCCTGTTGGGCTCCCCATGCCTCTGCACACTCGCCTTCCACATCTTGGTGACCCCCCCCCCCCAACCTCCTGATGTCCTATGGGCAGGGGTGCCAGTCCTCCCACAACTGCTCTCAGCCCTCGGCCCGTCCTCAGGAAGCCAGCCACACAGAATCCCCCGGCCACGCCGCACCACCCCAGCCAGGTCCGCGCCTGCTATCCCTCAGTGGACTCTCCTCATGGCCACATCACCCAGCCCATCAGCCTGTCCGCACCCTCCCGCTCTGCTCAAGACCCCCTTGGTCTCCACCCCCGGCCGCTGACCGGCACACTCACTTCTCCAGGTAAATGGCGGACAGACTGCGGACCTGCTCCAACTTGCCCAGGGTCAGCTCCAGCTCTGAGCGCAGAGTGGGGGCCGCAGGGGACGGCTCGGGCAGGGCCAGGACCTTCTCGGCCTCGGCAGAGAGCCGGGCAACCCCCTTGCCCAGCCCCTCCACCTCTGCCTGTGCTTTCTGAGGAGACAGAGCAGGGGGCAAGCTGAGCTGGCGAGCCCGACAGGCAGCACCCTTGGGAGCCAGGGGCGGGGGGCGGGGTACGATGCAGTGGAGGGGAGGGGCTGGGGCCTGCCTGCTGCTCGGCGATGCGCTGGGCACACTCCCGCGCGGGCTCCTTGTCCAGTGGCAGCCGCAGGCGGTGCACCGTGCGTGTCTCGCAAGCCTCCAGCTGCAGCCGGATGTCTTTGAGTTCTGAGATGCAGCGCTGACAGCGTGATTCCTCCTGCTCACCTGGGGAATAGGTCCCGCTCGCACGCCGCCCGGCCATGGATGGCCCCCCACAAGCCCCCCACCACCCCCTGGCTGCCCACACCTACCCTGCTCCAGGCTCTGCAGCAGCTGCTGGTAGTGGCGGCTGCAGGAGCCATACTCGCGCTCAGCCTGTAGCCGGTCCTCAGGCCCAAAGCCGCCGGCGTCCTGACTGTCCCGCAGAAAGGCCTGGTAGTGCAGCTCCAGGCTGCGGAGGGCCTGGCGCTGCTCCTCAGGCTTCAGCGTGCGGAACTACAGGTGGGCGGGCAGGCAGGCAGGCAGGGGTGAGTGTGGCCACGGGGAGACCCACACCCCACCAGCCCGGAATGCTCAGCGGGGCCACTGTACCATGACCAGAGACCAGGGGGTAAGCATAGCCATGGAGAGGCCCCACACCCCACCAGCCTTGAGCACCCGGCAGGGCCGCCGTACCGTGACCAGGGACCAGGAGCGAATGAGCTGCACATCACGGCTGAGGCTCTGCCACGCCAGAAGGCTCTTCATGTCTGTGTGCAGCTGATGCCACAACGTGACCAAGGCCTGGTGCTGGGCCTCCAGCCTGGTGGGCAGGGCACAGTCAGAGGTGTCCAGGCACCTGCCCTACCACCTAGCCGGCTGCCCCACCCAGGACCACACACCTGGCCACGGCCTCCAGGGCCTCCTGGTTCGGTGGGGGCACGAGGAAGCACACGGAGGGCACGGCAGCCTCACTGCCAGAGCCGCTGAGCACCTTCCAGTGGAACGGCTGTGCGGGGCCCAGCATCTGGCACTCATCACCCTTGTGCACGGTCACCTGCGGCAGCCAGAGCCGTCACAGTGTGGCCACGTCCAGCCCCCTCCGGGGCCCAGCCCGCCCAGCCAGGTCCTCACCTCCACCTGCTTGTAATCGCAAACGGCCAGCAGCGGCACGCGGCCCCGTGTGGGCTGGGTGGGGTTGCGGGGCGTGAGCTGCACAATGGCCTTGGCCCTCTTGGCCAGGCCTGAGAGGTGCCCCCTGTACTCGTTCAGCTGGTCCTTCTCATCCTGCAGCGGGGGTGAGGGGGGTTAGGGGGGTCCGAGACCCTCTATGAGGACCCCCGTGCCTGCCCCAGGAAACTCATACGTGCCCCCTGCTGCCCCACACTGCCCTGAGACCAGGAGTTCCTTCCCACGGTCCCTGGAATGTGGTGGGGCTGGGCACTCGCCAGGACAGGCCCCTGGGCTTCCACTGACACCCTCCTCCCTGGGCAGGACCGAGTGCCCCTCCCCATCCGCACCACAGCTCTGTCATTCGGGGAGGGTGCCATGTCATCCTCTCCCTCTCCCCTCTGCCCTCCCTGGTCCTTGTGGAAGGGTGCACACCTCCTCCGGTTCAGCCCCTCTGAGGGACCAAGGATCACCCTAGGCCGCAGGTCAGAGTCCACGTGGAAGCTGCCTGCGCCTGTCCTGGCCAGCAGGGCCCCCGGCCCCCCTCCTCCGTCTCGCCCGGCCTGAGCGCCATGCTCGGCCACCTGTGTCCACCTCAGCCCCACCTGCCCCAGACTGTCTGGCTTGGGATGCCGGTGGGCCTCCTACAGCGCAGGACTGACAGCCCAGCGGCTGACTCAGGCCCCTCCTCGCTCCCACGGCCCCAAAGGTCGGCTCTCGTACTGGCTCTGGGCAGCCACCTACTCTCATGCCAGGCCCCTGCCACTAAGCTCTCATCCACTCATACCCATCCCGCTATGCTGACCTCCCACAGTCTGACCTCTTCTGACCCCTGCTGGTCCCTCTAGTCGCCACCCTCTGCCTCCAGAGGGACCTTCCCTGAGCATCAGCCCCGACAGCAGGTCTGCCTCCCCCCGTGCCGTCCCCAGCCCTGGACCACCCACGGCTGTAGCTGCCCTCCAGCCCCACCGGCTGCACCACCGGGCAGCCGCGTCTGCCCCTCACCCGCTGCACAGCCCCGGGCCGGCCGAGCGGCTCACCTGGGCGTCCTGCAGCAGGTCCTCCAGCCGCGTGACGGTGATGGAGCGGTCACAGGTGTACTTCCTGTGCAGCGTCTCCTGCAGCTTCCGCAGCTGCTCCTCGGCCTCCCGCACATCTGAGAAGAACTGGGGCGGCATCAAAGGGTCAGAGTCCCCGGCCCCGGCTTCCCCAGTGTAGGGCGAGGGACCAGGCCAATGCCTGGGGACAGCGCTGACTAAGGTCAGTGAGACAGACAGTGTACGAACCCAGTTCACACCTGCAGCCCAGCAGAGGGACACCTCGAGGCCACTGCAGTGGGCTGGGCATGGGGGGAGCCCAGGCCAAGGCCACTGCAGTGGGCTGGGCATGGGGGGAGCCCAAGCCTCACCTGGAAATAGGCAGTGTTCTCCTTCAGGTGCGCCTCGATGCAACAGCACAGCTGCAGCATCCAGCTCCACTGGGTCTGCAGGGCTGCCTGGAAGGACTGCCACACAGCACGCGGCCCATCAGGCCCTGCCCGCCTCGTGGCCCGGGGTGCCCCAGCCCCCCGCCCCCACCAGGGGTGACCAGGTGGGTCCCCAGCCCTGCCCCTCCCCCCAGTGGCGCCTGCAGGGGGTCCCTGCAGGCCCCTCTCACCTCCACTGTGGGTCGGGCAGGGTGGTCTTCCCGGAGCAGGCGGTCCCCAGTGCTCTGGATCTCTTTGATTTTCTTTTCTTTCAGCTCCAGCTCACGCATCAGGGCCTGACAGGGGCAGAGGCCTCAGGGGCAGTGCCAAGGCAGCACTAGGGACCCTGGCTCCCACCAAGTGCCCCAGGGCCTGGGCTGGCCCGGCCACCCACCGAGGACCCCCACCACCCACCGAGGGGCCCCGCCTCACCGAGGACTCCCACCACCCACCGAGGGGCCCCGCCCCAGCATGGGGCCCGGCCACCCACTGAGGGGCCCCGCCTCACCGAGTAGGCCTCCTTCTTGGCGGCCATGTTGCTGTTGCGCTCACTCCAGTCGAAGCCCACCTCCTCCTCCTCCTTCTCGCTCAGCCACATGAGCTCCTTGGTGGCGGCCGCCACGAAGCCATGCAAGCTCTCCAGGGACCGGAGGCGGGCCTTGGAGGAGTTCTGCGGGCAGGCAGGCGGGGGCTGTGTCAGCTGCTTCCTCCTCCCGGGACCCCTCCCTGCACCCACTTCCCGCCTGACCCCCACTCACCAGCAGCTTGGCGTACTGCAGGTCCAGCCGACCCAGGCAGTCCCGGTAGGCACCTCGGGTGGCAGGGGACAGCTGGCCCTGAGGGAGACCAGCAGGGTGAGGCCTGCGGTGGCCAGGACCTGCCCACCCCCGCCGTCCACCACCCTCACACCCGCTGCTTGCTCACCTCGTCCGTGCGGGCCCGCTCGATCTTGGCCCGGAACTCCTCAACGGACTGGTGCAGGCCGCGGTGGCTGCCCAGCTGTGCCTCCACACTGGGCAGGTCCACGCCCCACTCAGCACCATCCACCCGGCGCTGGTTCTCCTCCACCCAGGCCAGCAGATCCTGCAGGTAGCGCAAGGTTGAGTCCTCAAGCTCGGGGTGCCGTGGTGTGCCCCGCAGACGCAGGTTGTACTCGGTGCGGATGGCCACCAGACGCTCGTGCAGGCGATACACCCTGTGGGCAGGGCAGGGGTCAGGGGGGTGGTGGAACAGGGCTGCCTGCCGCAGGCACTGGAGGGGCGTGTCCCACCTGCGGTACATCTGCTCGCCCTGTGGATGCCGCCCATCCTTGAGAGCCTGCACATCATTGAACAGCAGCCGGATCATGCCATCAGCCTTGTCCAGGTCTCGTTCCACCTCGCCCGCCCGCTGCGGTGCCTTGCCTGCGGCCAGCAGCCGGACGTCCTGCAAGGCAATCACCCTTACTCAGAGCCTGGCCACCCTGTGCCCCCGCCTCCGAGCCCAGCCCGTCCTTTCCCTTTCCTCCCCAGCCAGCACCTTACATGTCTCTAAGGCTTCTGATCAACCCCCCAGGCCCAGTTCTCTGTGGTGACTAGGGTCAAGTGCAAAGGCCTCCACTGGGTCCCAAAGCCAAGTGCTTCTCAGCCTTGTTGCCCATCACCCACCCCAGCAAAGTCCTCCCTGAGAGAGCCCCAGCCCAGGCCCCGCGGTCTGGGTCCCCTTCTGCCACATCCAGCCAGCAGGCGGCTCAGGGCAGGCCTGGTGCCCAGGAGCCGGCTCTGCCCCATCTTGTGGTCAGAGATGGCTCCATGCCAGGAGGCAGGAGCAGCGGCTGCAGGGCGTGGCGGGCTTGGGGCTCCTCCCTCTGTGCAGCCTCCCTGCCCAGGCCCAGCCCTCACCGACTGCAGCAGGGCGTCGGCCTGGTTTAGCTGCTCCTCGCACAGTCCAGCCTCCATCTGCAGCTTGCTCACAATACGCTGAAGACGCTCCAGTCTGCGGTCGAGAGCAAGCACGGCCCCCCTCATGAGTGGCGACGGCCCGCCAGGCTTCCCGCCTCAGAGCACAGCTCCCTCCTGCTCCGGGCCTCCCTGCCGGGCTGCGGCCCACAGCTGAGCTGGCCCCAGTGTGGGCTTCCCAGCCCGGGGGTGGGGGTTTCCTCCCCGGGCAGTGACTCACCCTCGGGTGGCTTCCTTGCAGGGCCCCACCCGCCCTCCCGCCTGCCTGCCCGCCCACCTCTCAAACTCGCTGCGGAGCTGCTTCTCCCGCTCCAGGATGGCCACGTGCAGCTTGCCCCACTCCTTCTCCACGTCCAGCGGGTGGTAGCCAGGGGGCACCTTGAGCTGGCCTGCTTGAACCGCTCCCTGTGGGCAAGGCCAAGCTCAGGCCGAGGCCAGCAGGCACCCAGGCCCCGGGCCCACCTGCCCTGAAACAGCCCTGGCCCCAGCTTAGTGAGGAGGCAGGCCAAGCCTGCTGGATGGGCCCCTGGGCCCCAGGCTCCTGGGCGGCTTCCCTCAACTCCAGGTCCCCCTCACCTCCAAGGACTGGTAGATGCCCTTGGACCGGTTCTTGTCTGCCTCCTTGGCTGGAAGCTCTGTCTCCTTAAACTTCAAGAACTGGCACCACAGGATCTGGGGACAGGGAGGTGTCAGTAGTGAAACCTGGGCGCCCACAGTGGACATAGGACCCCGCGGAGCAGGGAAACCCACCTCGATCTCCTCGAAGCTGGAGGGGAAGCGGCGTTCCTCGAAGGCAGCTGTGTGTGCCCGGATCCACTGCAGCAGCAGCAGCACCAGCTCCCGGTACTCCTGCCAGCGCAGCTGCAGCTCCTGGGGGGGGGGGGAACAGGCATGAGGGGCCGCTGGGGCCCACTTGCCCCCTGCCCACCCCGCCCTGCCAGCTGGAACTCACATTAGCCTTCACCCCGTCCTGCACGTCCGGCACACGGGGCATGGCGTCGTACAGGGACGAGACGTAGGTGATGATGGACTTCTCGTCCGGCTGAGGGACGTCCACGTCTGCAAGGGAGGGGTGTCAGAGGGGCGCCGGCGGGGGGAGCAGGGAGGGAGGAGGGGACAGTGGCACATACCCTCAGGGTCCAGGAGACGTGTAACCCCCAGGTCCCGCTCTGCTACAGAGAAAGCCTGGTCCAGGTTCTCCAGGTTGGTTTGACGATACACCTTGTTCATGTCGATGAGCATGGGCCTGGGGGCAAAGGAGCAGGTGGGGCAGGCAGGCAGGGACACGGGAGCAGCGAGGCCCCCTGGGAAGGTCAGCACACAGAGAGACCCTTTGCAGATCCCCAGGACACAGAGCCCCCAGCCCACGGTCACCCTGAGAAGCAACTGCCCACATGACACCCATGTGCAGGCCCCGCCCCCATGTGCAGGGCCCGCCCCCAGGAGCTCCTGGGACCTTCGGGGTGCAGGGGCCCAGGGTGGGGTGCTTATCTGGGCTCCCTGCAGCTACCCTGTCCACCAGGCCCTGGGTCCTGGGTGGGGGCTGAGGTTCCCCCAAGGACTGACCCCACTCAGGCCTCTTCTGGGGCATCAGTGTGGGACCAGTGCTTGTGGCTGTGAAAACCAGCAGCCCCGAGGTCCTCTGGCCTCAGCGAAACCAGGAAGGGCCAGGAGGCAGCGGGAAGGGTGTGGGCCAGGCTGGGCCTCCCGGGGAGGCAGCTGGCAGCAGAGCCCATCTCCTGGGGAAGCGGCTCCCCGTGCGCAGCACACGCCTTCTCGCCGTCCCCTTTGCCCCAGCATGTCTGCAGTCGCCCGGCCGAGGGACTCGGGTGCCCCCGCCCACCGCACGCACGGCCCCGCCCCGCCCTGCCCGGCGGCCTACTTGTGCCGGTGGATGATGGCGTTGAAGAGGCGGCCGTCGCGCCAGCTGGAGGTGAAGTTGTCACAGCGCAGGCCCTGGTAGCCCTCCACCATGCGCTGGGACCACAGCAGCAGCTTCTCCTTGGCCGTCATGTCCTCTGACTGCCCGCTCACCTGGATGTCTGAGATCTGCCCGCACAGTGGGCAGGAGGCGGGGCTCAAGCACGGCCCCCTCAGCAGACACGAGCCACCGGCCAGCAGAAGCCAAGCGGGTCCTGCCCACGTCAAGGAGCCGCTGGGACCCACCACCCCTCAGCGTCAAGAGCCCAGGCCACCCCAGGCAGCAGCTGCCACATGTGGGTGCCCTGGGCTCCCTCAGCCCAGCTACACCTTGCACCCCCCAAGGCAGGATCAGAGTTGGTGGAGGGCATGTGCAAGGGGCTCGCCCAGAAGCCCCAGGCCTAGAGAAGACTGTCATGAGGTGCAGGCAGTAGGGGATGGTCAGGGCCTCTCTGGCTGCAGGCCAAGGTTGGGTCCTAGGACTGGGCACGTGTGGCTGCAGCCCAAGCCTGGCCCTGCACTCAGTCCAATCCTTTGGGCCCAAGTCTGCTAGCTTGTCTGTTCCCAGTTATCTGTCTGTCGGTCTGCCCGCCTGTATGACTCAGCTGCCGTGCCAGCCAGGCTCTGCCTGCCCAGCTTTCAGATTTGCGGCTTCCTGTGTGGCTGGGCAGGCAGTGGGTGAGTCAGCCCGAGCAGCGGGTGCCTCTCCAGAACCTTCCCTGTGGCGGGAGGCCACACAGAGCAGAGAACCCGTGCCTCTGCAGGGAGAGCCAGGGCCAGAGGCATGGGATAGGCAGGCCTTGGAGAGGCCTAGGCCTTCAAGCCATGGAGTTAGCACAGGGCTGCAGCGCAGGCTGACAGGAAGGCTCCAGGTGCCAGGCCACATGCCCAACCAGGTGCCAGGCCCACCCTGCAGACTCTGGAGGTGGCAGAAGGTCAAGTGGGCAGCCGCGCTACCTGGAAGTGCAGGATGATGGTCCAGATCAGGCCGAGGGTCAGCTTCGGGTTGCCGTCGGCAATGTCATCGTTCCTGATGTTCACCAGCTTCACCTGCAAGCAAGCGGGCCTCGGTCACACCCACGAGTCAGCCAGAGAAGGGGCCGGGGCCGGGGCCTGTGGCCAGTTGGGCACCTTACCTGGCGGTGACGGAGGTAGTCCAGGGCGATCTGCACGTTCTGCAGCTTGTGGAAGCGCATCCTCCCCTTCTCCCGCGGCTGCAAGGGGAGCACGCCGGTCAGCACCCCTGAGCCCCCGCGGGATCTAAAACCCTTACCCTGGGTCACCCACCCCAGCTGGCAGGGAGGACACGCTGGTCAGCACCCCTGAGCCCCCGTGGGATCCATGACCCTTACCCCCGGTCACCCACCCCAGCTTAGGGGAGGGGGTCTGCTGGCTCAGGAGCCAGGCCCAGCAACAGTTTGGGAAGTCTAAGGCCTGCTGCGGGAAGGAAGGAGGGGGCGGGGAGGACACAATAGCCAGGAAGCCACGGGCGGAGGGTAGTGGTTTGGGGGAGGGGTCCTCCTGCCCAGCGGTGGCAGCCCCTGTGGGTCTCCGGCCCCGGGCAGTGCGGCAGGTGGGCTGCTGGGCAGCTCGAAGCAGGGCCATCTGCCCGCCCCAGTGCCATCGGCCGGGTGAGCCGGGCTCCTGGAGCCCACGTGCTGCCGTGGCCAGCAGGCACATCCACTCACCAGGCGCGAGCTCCTGATTACATCCCGCTCTCTTGGCTGCCCAGCCAGAGCAGGGCAAAGGGTAAAGGGCAGAGGTCAAAGTTCAGAGTCCAAGCAGCAGAGAAACCAAAGCAGAGCAGAGCATGAGGTTATAGTGTCAAGGCTTGAGCACGGTGGGCAGCAGGGCCGTGCGCCCAGGCGCAGGGGTCGGGTGGCTCCCAGGCCAGGATGGACACTGACCAGGAGGCGCGGAGGGGAGCTGAGGCCAGGCTGGACACAGAGTTGGGGGGGGCAGTCACGGGTAAGACCCCAGGAGGGAAGGCAGGCAGGGTTGCAGAGGGGCGGGCAGACACACGTACCAGGCTGTCCCCGGAGAGCACCTCCAAGAGGGAGATGAGGTTGTGGCCATCACGGAGGTCTTCATACAGGTCACTGATGTGCCTCTGAGCCTGCAGGCACAGAGTGTGGGGCTGGCCCAGAAGGCTCGAGGCAGGGGGCCCACAGAAGACGCCCACCCCCGAGGAGGCACCTACCTCTGCCCTCCAGTGCTACAGAGACCAGGAGAGACGAGGAGGAGGAGAAAAGAGACAGGAGATGAGCGAGCCAGGGGAGGAAGCAGACAGAAAGGACAGGTTCAGAGGTGGGAGGTGGGTCCTGGGGCAGAAAGCGGGCCCGACCGCGTAGATGCAGAGCGGGCTCCAGCCCTTGTTTGGGCCGGACAGCCAGGGCATCCTCCTCCACCCCCGCGACCCTGCACACACACACACACACACACACACACACAGGCACTCCTGCACAGACGCTCACAACCGTGTGCACACACACCACCAACCTTGATGAGGTGCTTGTTGACCCACTTGGTGAAGGTTTTCTTCTGCACACGGTCCCGTTCATCTGGGAGAGACAAGGCCATGTTACCTGGGGCTGGAAGAAGCCTCACAAGCCCCCGGGAGGTGACCGCCATGCACAGTGGCTGGTGCCACTCAGAATCACACTGCCCCCCGCCCTACAAGGCCCCAGGTAGTCCTGGATAGAGGCCAGGGGCCAGGCCCCAGGTGCCCACTGCTGGGTCTCCCAAGATGGGAGGGTCTGGAGCTGGCAGCCACACCTGGAGGCACAGCACACAAGTCCTGGCCTGCCCCACCCCCACACAGGCTGCCTCCGGGGGCCTGAGCAGGCCCGGACCCAGACTGGGCAGGGCTAGGCAAGGGGAAGCTCTGTCCCCCTGCAGGGCATGGAGAGCCCTCCGCCCCCAACCACCCAATACCCAGAAACCCCACCAGCCTCTCTGTGTTGGGGCATGGTTGGCTGGCCCCCCAGCAACTCTGCACCTGGGCCAACGCTGGTCTCAGAGTTTGTCCCCCAAATTCAGAGCCTCACAGTCTGGGCCCCACCCCACTCGATGCCAGGCTTCCTGCGGCAGGAACTGGGCCCTTCCTGTCCCACGCCTGGCCTGCCCAGCGGTGTGGAGTCCCGCTACCTTTCTTGCCCTCTGAGGCCCTGAGCACGGCCAGGTAGAGGTTGTCCTCCGAGCTGGTCCTCTTGTGACCCAGGCCCTCAGGCTCGGGCACCCGCAGCCGCTGCTGAGACATGGTGCCGCCCTGCCCCTTCGGTGCTGCGTCCCTCCCCCAGGTGCTGCGCTCGCGGCTGTGGGGCACACCACGGCGGAGGCGCTCGGCTAGGCACACACGCTCACTCGGGGGCTCTGCTCACTCAGCTCCGCTGGAGCCCAGTGCGGGCCACTCCCTGTCCGCAGAACTCCCTAGCCGCTGTCCCCGCCCCGGGAGCCCCACCCCAGCCTGCACACCCCCAGAGAGGGAGTGTCCCGGCGGGAAGCAGGAAGGCAGCCCCTCCCCCACGGCCACACCTACAGCCGGGCAGAAACAGGAAACCCGGGGGTTTCCTCACCCACCCTGCCTGCAGTAGCCCCAGAGGGAACCCGGGTGCCAGGGGACCTGCACCTCACGGCCCACAGACGAGTGTCGGGGCACAGGGAGCCACACACTGTGCCCAGGGCCACTCCAAAGGGGCCCCACAGGGAGGGGTGCCTGAGCGCCACTGGGCCAGGGAGCCCAAGGTCACGTGTCTTGAGGGGGGCGCCAGCTCAGCCTTGACCCAAGGCCGCCCCATGCCTGCCCAAACTGCCAGGCGGAGGGGCCTAAGGAGGGACCCCCAAGGGGAGTGACACCTGGCTTGGGGGGGCTGGCTGCCTTCCCTGGAAACCCTCCTAAATCACTCCTCAGAGACCTACACCCTACACCCTGCTAGGCTCCCCTGTACCCCTGGCTCCAGAGCCACCAGGCTCCAGTGAGGGCTGAGCTCCTCCCAGGCGGCCCACCGTCCTGGAGCAGTGCCCCCATCCAAAGGCAGAGTGCTCTGTGGGGCAGGAGGGGGCGCATAACTGAGTGCTGACTCACCAGCCCTAAGCTGGGGAACTCTGCCCTGCGTCAGGGAGGGGGGCCCAGGTCAGAGGGGAGCACCCTGAGGGGGCCCAGCCAGTGAGTCAGGGGAGGGGAGAGGGCCCAGGCAGGGTGACTCATGGGCGAGGAAGCCGCACCTGGGGTGATGGGGGCAGCCTGGGTGGGGGGCTGTTTGCAGGCGGGTGGGGCGCACGGGTATCAGCCACTCAGGTTGTAAACGTGGTAGGACAGAGGGCAAAGGGCGCCACCGGCTCCCTCTCGTCTCGCACTCGGTGGCGCTGGCCACGCAGGGACTGCCCAGCTGCCCAGCCACTGCAGGAAAGAATGCACCGCCCTGACCACAGAATTTTCCAGTCGGAGACTTGGCTTGATGCGATCCAGCTGGGAGCCGCTGCCCCACCCCCATGGCGCCTCGGGCCTTGTTTCCAGGAAAGGCTCACCCCACCCAGCCGCTGCCCTTCTCTGGCCACGGGGGGGGGGCGCACCCCAGGGAGTAGGGGGCCCCAGCCAGGTGGAGCTGACTGCCCCCACCCCTACCCCAGGGGCCCTGCCACAGGTCACCTCACTCCCCAACTCTAGACAGAACTCCCTTCTATTCAGGGCCGGGAGAGGCCCCACACACGAGCCCTTCACCCCCCAGAGGCACTCCAGGATCCCACATCAGACCCTGCGCTGGCCAACGCCCCAGTTCAGGGTCACCAAGGACGGCTCACCCCACCGTCAGGCACCCCGGCCAGGCGTCCAAGCCCCTCTCCAGCGTCCTCTCTGCCACTCAGGGGTTCCAAGAACACTGGCTTGCTGACCAGTACAGGGTTCCACCTCCACCTTCCAAGCCCGATCCCTCCCCTGAGCACGCCCTGCTGCCTCCAGACTCCCCCCCAGGATCTCAGAGAGTGTCCTCTCAGGCGCTCCCTGCAGCCCTGCCGGCCAGTCCCTCACGCCTGGCTGCAGGACCCACCCTTCCCCGGCCATCCTATTCAGGCCCTCAAGTCAAGAGACCACCCACCACTCCCCGGCCGGCCCAGCCCCGCGCGGCCCGCCCCCGTAGGCCAGGCTGCTGCACGTCTCGGCTGGCTCTCCCCAGCACTGCTGCTCCTGCCCCGTCCACCAGGCCAGTGTCCCCAGAGCTGCCCGCAACCCTCTGAAAAGTAACGTTGGCCCCTTACACAGATTTGGAAACTAAGGCAAGAATCTATAGCTAGTGGGGCCGCTCCCGGGATAGGAAGCCTGAAGAGAAGGGAGCCGACGCCGAGCAGGGCAACGCGGAGACTGCAACCACGCCCCGTCCCCTCCCACCCCACACCTCCCGCGGGTGCCGACAGCCCGGTGCCCGGAACCCGCAGCCCGGTGCCCGGAACCCGCGGCCCGGCCGGCCGGCCCGCCCCGCTCCCCACCCCCTTCTCCGGAGGGAACACGGGGGCAGAGGGGACTCCACCCCTCCTTCCTCCCCAGGTGTTTCCGCACCGAGCCTGGGGGCGGGGCTGCGCCTGGGTCGGGCACCGCCCCCGGCCCCCGCGGCCTTCCCCGCGCTCGCGGAGTCGGGCGCCCCCTCCGGCACCACCGCCCCTCCAGCCGCACCCACCTACGCAGCACAGCTGCCCGTAGAGGTAGCCCCTGCGCGCCTGCTCGCAGCCCCCATCCAGCCAGCACGGCCGTTCCAGCACGACCTCCTTCTGCGTGGCGAAAGCGACGCCCGCCCCCCGTGTGCCAGGCGCAGCCATGAGCCCGGGGGCCCTGCGGACAGCAAACAGGACGGTGCGTCGGCTCCCTGGCCCACGCGCGAGGCCGTCGGCTCCGCATGCCACACCCTCCCCCGCTGCAGCCGCAGGGCCGGACGCTGAGAACCTGCCCCCGGCGGGCGCCCCGCCCCACGGGGACCTGGAAGCCGCGCCCCGGCTTGGAGGGAGAGGACCCGGCTGGGCCTGGGGGCAGCAGAGGAGGAGGCTGCCCCAGGACAGAGGCTGGGAACTGCCGGAGCCTGGTGTTCCTGGACGACCTCCGGCTCCCGCAGGATTCGCGGGAAAGGCCGGGTGTGCGGAGTAGGGGGCTGAGAACTGAGAAGAAGCACCGAAAAGGGGCGCCGAGGGCAGCAGGGCCAGGGAGCGGCCAGGCCAGCGGCCGAAGGGGAGCCCGGTGCCCACGTGGGCACAGGAGACAGAGGCTGAGGGTGGGAGGGCCAAACCGAGGGGGGGACTCTCTGGCCTGAGCGTTTTATTGAACCGTTTTGTTGAACGTCCGCGCAGCTGAGTCACCAGCCGCTCCCCAGCTCCCAAAGCCACGCCTAGGAGCCCCATCCGGACTCAGACCTCGGCCAGGTCCCCGTGGAGCAGGCCCACCAGGGGCGGCCCTGGCCACCCCCACCGAGGGCAAGCCTCCCAGCCTCAGGCTATCGCCCGGCCGCCCTGCAGGTCCCCAGTGGGGCCGTCCCTCTGGCCAGAACCCCAGTCCCCTGCTCATTCACTGGAGTGGAGGCAGGCCCCACCCAGTCCTGGGCCGGGCGCCACTGCCGAGGGCTATAGCCTCGAGCGGGTGACCTGGAGCGGGGGGAAGGGCAGTGTAAGCTGCCGGTCCCGAGGCGTTACTGGGCCCTGGTCAAGGGCGCTCAGGCACCTGTCCAGCTCCCGCAGCCCCACCTCCTGCGGCGGCCGTTCCTCAGTCCCCAGGACGCCTGCACCTGCCCACTGCGGTTTCCGTGTTGAGTCACCTGTGCTCGCCCCGGACGGGCTGCTAGGGAAGGGCCTCCCTCCGGGACGGAAGGCCCCTACCCCTTGCCGCCCCCTCCCCAGCTGCCCAGACCTCCCCCAGCCCTCCCTTCACACCCTGCCCAGCAGCGGGCTCCAGGCTGACGGAGGCAGACTCCTGGCCCTGCCCAGACAAGCAGGAGGGATCTTCAGCGCAGGGTGTGGGCCGGGGGTCCACACCTTGTCTGGCCACGGGCCCGAGCGCTCTTCCAAGACAGGAAGGGGCGGGCATAGGGAAATTCAGGGGCGGGAGGGAGGCGGCCCCTCGCCCGCCCCGCCCTCAGCCCCCTGGCCGGGTGGTGGCAAAAAACAGCAACCCGGGAGGTGGCCACAGCGGCCTTACCTTGCTCATCCTGCACCCGCGGGCGCCCCCTGCGCCAGTGCCACACGGCGGCCAGGGTGATGGCGTGGCCCACGACCACGAGGGAAGGAAACAGGCTGCCCGAGGGCTCCATGGCTCTGGAGGCGCCGGCCTGCGCGCTCGGCAGGCAGAGCCGCCCTTCGGAAGGGCTGCTCGAAGCCAAGCAGCCCCCCTTCCTTCCCCGAGGAAGCGGAGGACGGCTGGGGGCGCCCGGGACCGGGGACCGCCCCCTGCGGGACCGCCCGACCACTGTCGGCCGCCGCCACCGCACCAACTGCGCTCCCGCCCGCGCCTCCCTCCCGCTCCGGCCACTCGCGCTCCCCACCCGCCCCACCTCCCACGGCGGCGCCACTCCGCGGGCCCTGCGCCGCT